TCTCTCTCTCTACCATCTATCTATCCATCAACTATCTCTATCATCTGTCTCTCTCTCTATCATCTATCCATCAACTATCATCTATCTATCGTCTGTCTCTCTATCATCTATCCATCAACTATCATCTATCATCTGTCTCTCTCTCTCTCATCTATTCATCAACTATCATTTATCTATCATCTGTCTCTCTCTCTACCATCTATCTGTCCATCAACTATCTTCTATCTGTCATCTGACTCTCTCTCTCTATCATCTATCTATCCATCAATTATCATCTATCTATCATGTCTCTCTCTCTCTATCATCTATCCATCATCTATCATCTGTCTCTCTATCATCCATCTATCCATCAACTATCATCTATCTATCATCTGTCTCTCTCTATCATCTATCTATACCTATCTATCATCTATGTATATCTATCAACTGTCTCTATCAACTAAATATCCATACCTATCTATCACCTAGCTATATTTATAATCTATCACCTGTCATCTGTCTATCATCTATCTTATGTATCTTTCTAGCTAACATTTATCTGTCTATCATCTACCTTATGTGTCTGTCTAGCTAACATCTGTCTATCATCTATCAATCAGTCCATCTATTGATTGTTTACCTATATCTATCATCTATCTATCATCTATGTCTGTCTATCACATATCATCTACCTATCATCTATCTTATTTAGCTAGCTAGCTGTTATCTATCTATCTATCTATCCATCTATCTATTCTCCTCCTCCTCCATCATCTTCTGTCTCTCTCTTCCTCTCTTACCCCAAACTGCCTGGCTCCTTCTCCCCTCTTCTCTCTCACCCTTACGTCTACTTATTTTCTACACAGAGTGGTTTAAAGGTAGAGATCTCTTGTATTATTGTCTCCTTTCCACCTCATCACAACCAAATCACCACACTGCTTGTGGTTTTCACCTACAGAGAGAGAGTTCCCCTGTGGAAAGGGGCTCATGGAGGACACACTACCAACCCCAACAGGGTCTCTGAGGTGTGAACCCTAGTCTGTCCAGCACAAGGCACAAGCCCTAGTGCTGTCCACCTCACCCAGTGGGCTGATCAGAGATAAAAAAAGACCTGGTGAAATGTGAAACTAGACACAAAGGCATTCTTACCATTATTGCCGTAGACTGAATTGCAAAGCTGAGTGGGATCCTCCCTTCTTTTTTGATTTCCCCTGCAATGACCACCGGAATCTCTTTAAATTCCACAGCTGCCAGAGCTGAAGTGTGCAGTGGCACCGGGGAAAGGTTCCGAATCTTCCGTGCTGAGAAGACCTACGCAGTGAAGGCGGGACGGTGGTACTTTGAATTTGAGGCTGTCACTGCTGGGGACATGCGGGTTGGCTGGAGCAGGCCGGGGTGTCAGCCGGATCAGGAGCTTGGCTCTGATGAACGTGCCTTTGCTTTCGATGGCTTCAAGGTCAGTGGACTTTGCTGGGTCCCAGGCTCATGTCCCCTGATGTTCTTTTTGGTAGTTTAGTAACAATCTGGTATTTTCTACAGCACAAACTCATAAAAATAATTCATAAGAAAACTTTTGTCCTTTTAGTCTCAAAACCCTCTTTCCTACTATCTGAATAAAGAGCTTCTTTACAGTTATCAAAAAATGAATTATCCTTGTTCATCAGAAGCGGTACAGATACCAATATAAAGGAAAAATGACTATGTTAACAAAGTGATTTTATATAAAGAATTTATCTTTAAGTAACAATGATATATATAAACATTTCATAGACATAAGAATGATTAAGATGATGTTTATAATTACAGCTTTCATTTTGAACATTAATAGTAAATTCTGTTTCTTAAACCAGGTGGAAACTGATCAGATGTTTGTTATATATATTATATAAATATTTTAAGGATTATTTCATATGTATAAAATATTTTATGAGAAGTTATATGCTTATAGTCATAATCAGATAAATGTTGCTTTTGGTTGATAATATTTTAGACATTTTATTTTTATTTTCTTCAGTGGATTTGTATTCTTTTTCATGTGAGAGAAAAAGCTATTTTTAATTTAAAAAAGAAAATTAGAATAAATAAGCAGTCATGAAGAGTTTGACATTTGGGTGTTTTAGGTTTGTGATATCCTAGGTAGAGTAGCTAAACTAGAAATTAGGACAAAGAAATTTTTGACACCTTTTTTTCAGGTCAATATTAGCAAACTTTATTTAAACGTCAAAAAATAAAGTCATAGAGAGATTCACATGTACCCTTACAGGATGAACCATATGTCTTCACACTAACTAAGAAAAAGACATGAAGGCAATGTTAACTAGTTGGATGAAAGTATTTCAAATCGTATATAGAAACACTACACTGTACCCCATAATGGTATTAATGTACACTGCTATGATTTAATAAAAAAATAAATAAAATAGAGTAATAGATCAAAGGCAGATTTAGCTTTATTATCCGTGAAGGTCAGATGTAACCAATAAGAGTAGGAAGTTCTCCTTGGAGGTTGAAATAACCTTGACCTCTAATCAGATCATAGCAAGAAAGGATGCTGATTTAGGGCACAGGCATGTGGCCGGTAGGACAGGAAGGAGGACAGCACAGCCAGGTACGTGGGTTGTGAACTTTATGCCTTTTGATACTTGGTTAATTTTTTTTTTTGAAGTACAATGTGTTATATTGAGAAGAATTACCTTTTTTTTTTTTTTTTTGCATTGATGACTATATCTTGTTACATACCAACTCATAATGACTATGATGCCTAAGTGACTAGTTCAAAGATTTATCTGGAAAAATAATTAATATAGCTATAGTAGGACCTTTGTAAATTTACCACTAAAAGGACTACAAAGAATTAGTCAACATGCAGAGGTGGTCAGCCTAAGAAACTAGGCCTACTGTACTGATACAGAGTGGTGCTAGTCTGGTCTATGAAATATTAGGTCAGCTCAAGGAAGTGGTCAATATCAGAAGATTCTACTGTAATTTGTCCCTACAAATTAGTGGAATATAATTGAAGATACAAAAGTCACATTTTATCAATACTATGTTGAAAGTTTCAGAAGTACTTATGAGATTTCACTTATGTATATCAAAAAAAGGTTGGCATCTATTTCCAAGGTTTTGCTTGTTATTTCCATAGATATCTTAAGAATATTTTGGGGTTAGATCTGAAACATTTATAGTTTTAGCACATAACCAAAATGCTTCTGCATTTCTATTTTGTTAAAGTATCAATGACACTGGTTCCAAGGAACAGAATTGTATTTTAAACAGATGAAAATTAGAATGTCATTTTCAGTGGTAAATTCCCAGCTTGATTCTCTAGCTCAGAATCTTTGTATTTATAGGAGTAGAGGAAAGCAAGTCATACCTTGGGAAATATTTATTGTAGCAAAATAAATAATTCTAAAAGCACGTAGGTTTTCTTTTTTTATCTTTTTGATAGAGGCTCACTTGGACACCTAGGCTAGAGTCTCAAGTGTTAAATAGCGTCATCTTAGCTCAATGAAACGTCAAATTCCTGGGCTCAAGCTATTTAGTAAAGACAGGGTCTTGTTCTTGCTCAGGGTAGCCTTGAACTCCTGAACTCAAGGGATCCTCCTTCCTCAGCCTCCCAGAGTGCTAGGAATACAGGCATGAGCCATGGCGACTGGTCACATTTTTCTTTAAATACAAAGTATGTAGAGATGGACCCAAAATCATGCAATAGCATTTGGGTTTTTTTTCGAGATTCAATAATATCCCATGTTGATATGAGGTAAGGATTTAAAATTCCCAGACATCTCCATATTGCTTCGGACATCACAGTAGGCTGACAGGTGCCAGCTGGAGTTCACCCTACTGCTGGGTTAATAGGAGGGGGTGCTGGCTTACTCTGTGACAAGAGACTCTCCCGCTCTCTGCAGGCCCAGCGGTGGCACCAGGGCAATGAGCACTACGGACGCTCTTGGCAGGCAGGTGACGTCGTGGGGTGTATGGTTGACATGAACGAACACACCATGATGTTCACACTGAACGGCGAAATCCTTCTTGATGATTCAGGTTCAGAGCTGGCTTTCAAGGACTTTGATGTGGGCGATGGTAAGTGAACTACATTTTGTGTCATTTATTTGAGTTTACAGCAAAATGAAACTGTTCATCGTAGTGCTTCATAACTGGTGTCTTTGTCTGAGGGTGAGTTGTAGCTGTAAATTGTAAGGGCTCCACATGGCTGATGTGATCAGACACGCCCTGGAAATTACTTTTGCAGAAACTCTGCTTCTCCAGCTCGGCTAGAATTTCAGTAAGGCCAAAAGGCTTTATGAACGTGAATAAGAAAATAAATGACAGGCAAAAGGAGAGTTCTTCATAATGGTTAAATTTTTATTGAGAACTTTTCCTGATTGATCAGCTGCTTATAGCCTTTTATGTTCATTCATTTATTCATTTCACAAAAATGGGATGAGAACCCACACGGGTCAGGTGAGTGAAACCCTGGCGCCTTTAGGTACAGGTGGCTGGGGAGGCTGACACTGAGACAATTTCTGTTTTGCAGATAAGTTCTAAAATAACCAAACCGTGCAGGGAGCACAGCTATTGGGGGGTGGGGGGGAGGTGGCTGTGATGACCTTTGAGCCAGAGTGAACAGAGAAGATGGATTGTATCGGGGAAACAATGAGGCGTTTAATCTTCACATCTGCACGTCCAGTCTGGTGGTCAGTGGCCACCTGTTTAAATTTAAATTAATTTAAATTAAGTAAGGTTAAAAATAGAGTTTCTTGGTATAAAATCACAATTTAAAAATAATGAAGAGGGCTTCACAAAGCAAAACAAAAATTCTGAAAATAACATAAATGGTTAATTATAGGGCTGATTAAATGAATTTTAATAGACATAGTGAGGGGCAATGCTCTAAATCGGTGATTTCCAACCAGTGTGCTGTGAGCATTTTTAAAGATCGTTAATTAAATTATTTTCAAAAGAAGTTCAAAGCACGGTAAGTGTATCCCTTTTTGTTATTCCTTTGTTTCGATCAACATAATTTAAGTGTGCTGTGAAAGTTTGTGTGCCATGAGATTAAAAAAAGGTTGAAAAATGCTGCTCTAAAGCCTTTTAAAATGGAAATCTGTGTTTCAAAACATCTTCCTGATACATTCTTGTTAGAAAAGTAGTTTAGACTGTGTAGCACAAACGAATATTTTAAAATGTGTCCATAGATGAATGTCTAGGTAAATACCTGTCACAGTGGTAACAGTGCTTAGCCCTAAATGTTGGACAGAATTATGATGGATATTTGTTTTATTCTTTACACTTTTATTTATGATATGACTTTAATTTTAACTTAGAATCACACATTTACATTGCTTTGTGTTAAGAATATTTTCATTGGAAACAACCTAAGTGCCCATCAACCCAGGAATGGATTAATAAACTGTGGTATATGTGCACCATAGAATAGTATCCAAAGATTGAGACTTTACATCTTTTGCATTAACTTGGATGAAGTTGAAACACATTTCTCTTAGTAAAGTATCACAAGAATGGAAAAACAAGTATTCAGTGCATTCAGTACTAATATGAAGCCGGTAGGCAAACTAATACACAACCACACAAGAGAAAAACTCAGTTCAATTCAAGGTGGGGAGAAAGGAGGGAGGAGGGAGGAGAGGGAAGGAGAGGGGATGGGTGTGCTCCGACTTAATGGGCACAGTGTAAGGGTATATGGCCCAGCTCCTGGGGGCAGGACTCAACTACAACAGGGACCTTCTCTAAGAAATGCAAACATTGTAAGCTAATCATTTGTACCCAAATTTTAATCTGAAATAAAAAATAAATAAAAATTTAAAAAAAGAATATTCTCACTTAAAAGTTTTCCCTTAAAAATGTGAAAAAAAAATAGAGTTTCTTGGCAGCTACTATTTCAAATGCTTAGTGCCTAGGGATTGCTGATGGTGTCCGTACTCAACATTTCTGATAGAAAACATTTCCATCATCCCAGAAAGTTATATTGGATGGTGTTGCTCTAAGAGCATAAAAGCACACAGTAGTTAATAAAGTATTGTATGATTATCTCATTTTAAAATGAGCCAAGCCATTTTTTCTCATGGTTTTTGAATTACCTGTATATACATGCTTATATATGCAAATATATGCATACATAAATTTAAATATGTTTGCATATTGTAGTATTAGATTTTCCTGTATACCTCAATCAGTATTTTTATATTTCATAAACTTGTCACAGACCCTCAAAACATTAGCCAGCTCATCTTTTGCATTACATTTTATATCCATCCTTTTAGCAAGCTTCTGAGTGGATTTGACCATTATTTCCCAAACAGAGATTTACAAAAATAATAGAAAATTTTCATTTTTATAGCTTAATATCTATTTGAACACTTGTATCTCTGGATGGTGATGTCAGCACTCTAATTCTCTCTCCCCTATCCCCTTTCTCTGATGTCCTTAAGGTTGTCAAATTATCATTAGTGGAAAGGCGGGAGGGGGACTTTTTCTTGGTGTTGTCTGTCTGTGCTGGTTACAATGATGGATGTGACCTAAAGCATTATTATTAATCAGTTTCATTTAAAAGTACTGGACCACTGTGCATATTTGGAAGTTTAAAATCATTGAATGCGTGTGTGAGTTCTGTTTATATAGTATGTGTATCACAGGATGTACACAGATCCATAGAACGCTCACCCATTACCAGTTAAGCAAATCACAGATGTTAATGTTTCAACACTGTGGTGTGGATGGATCACCGCCACGGTGATGAGATAGACATTGAAGCGAGTCTGAGCGGCACATTTCTATAACAACTTTGTTTTTGGAATTTACACTTCACAGAATTTTAAAAATTTAAACAAATGACTTCAACCTTATATTGATACCTCTTATCACAGTGTTAATATAAAATTCTGCTGAGTTGTCTGAGAATTTTATAGTTCATCTTACTGGAATTTGGTGGGGGATTTGGGGATTTGCTTTATGTAGCAATGATCATTAACTGTTAACTTTGCAAGGATCAGTCCCAAATCTGAATTTGCTACCCTAGGAAGGACTTTAGAGTTTATCCATCATACACCTATGATTTTCAAAGCTTTTTGGCAGCAGAATCTCTCCCCTGCACACTAAATTAACTTTATATAACTTTCTTTAAAACGTTCTTTAATTTACCTGTTAGTGCTGAGAACTAGCCCTTGAAATATCTAGAACTCAAAGGATCAAGTTTGAAAAACTATTAATTTAGGGCAACAGCTATTTTAGCAGAGTAATAGACTGTGGTTGCTATGTGGTAAAGTACTAAAAAAGTTTCATGAGTGCTCTATTTTCAAATTGTTCTTATACCTAGTCTGTTTTAGGTCTCTGCTATGTTTAATTTGGCGTGTTTTGCCATCTTCATAATTCCTTCTTATTGCTACAGAGGCAGATCAGACATTTCACATTGACTATTAAGGCAATCAAAATAATTATGGGTCAATATGGACAAAAGTAGAAAACTAAGGTTAAGGGAACAGGTTTAGCCTTAGTTTTGCATTTAATTTTGACCAAAGTATATTACTTAAACATTAACATTTAATTCAACACGTCAATATGTTGTTTATCATATTGCATCCTCATTTATAAGTGAAATATGTTTGTAATTTCCCCTTTATAATAATATATTTTCTCCAATTTTACTATCAGGTGTATCCAGATTAAGTAGAATGATTTTGAAGTTTTTCTTCTTTTTCTATTGTCTATAAGATTTGGCATGATCTTTTTTTTTGAAACGATCTTTTACTTTTATTTATAAATATTAGTTGTCTATGTTTTTGAGACTTTGGAAAAAACAAAATAGAAAGAAGAAGTTAACTGATGACTCCATACTGAACCTCAAGAGTCAAAGCATTCTATAATAGACATACTCCTATCTGACAATGCGAATGTTACTTTCTTTGCATTATTATTATGATTGCTTACTATTTCGATGCAGCAATCGTCTGATTTCTTTTCTGAATATATTTATCTTCGTTTTTTATGAGGTTTTTGTTTTCAGTCCTTATGTTAAACATTGTTATTGTTATTAAATTCTAAGCCTTTTTAATTCTGTGAAGGCAAAAGTGGAAACCTAATAAACACGTATATGTAAGAAAAATAAATAAAAAATTAAAAAACAAAAAAGCAGAAAACGTCACATATATAATACATACACATTCACACATATGGACCTATGTCCCTGTCAATCCCTATCTGGTCTACCTAGTTGTACAACTGACACAACTGAAATGATATCCTGACCAATATAAGTTGCTTCTATATTAATATCAAAAAGAAGGTCACAAAAATCTTGGAAACTAAATATGTTAATACTCAATGTATAAATAATTCAAACTTTAAAAAAAGAAAAGCAAGCTAGAAACAGCAATGATACAGTTTAAAAGAAGATAATAGCGAAAAAGGAATGTCAGTGAAAATGTAAAGATGACATCCCATTTACCTGGCAACATTGACATCATAGGGAAAATGATGCACAGAATTTTCTCACATATACAATTTTTCCTCCACACCTATTCTGAAAGAATCTGTACAATGTCAGCTACTTCTTACTAGTGTGAGGATGACTACATTTCTCATTCTGCTGGAGCTTTGCTTGGAGAGTTAGAATTTAGAGGTGTGTGAAATCCCAATCATTCTTATTAAAAAGAAGAAGAAGAAATGCCTTGTAAGAGTACTAAGTGAATTTCCACATGGAGCAGAATTGAAATTATTCTGTTACTTCAGGATTCCTTGGGGCTCAGCAAACATGGCTATGGAGATGATGTGTTTGCTAGTGAATATTGCATCCTGGATATAAACCATGTCTATATTCTACCTATTATGGACTGAACTATGTCCCCCCAAATTCGTATGCTACAACTCTATTTATAGATAGGGCCTTTAAAGATGTAACTTAGGTTTAATGAGGTCGTAGAGTGGAGCCCTAATCCAAAATGACTCACGTCCTTGTAAGAACAGGAGGAGATACCAGGAATGCCTGTGCTCAAGAGAAGGCCATGGCCATGGAAACCAGGAGGCTGCCCTCTATATGCCAAGGAGAGGGGCCTCTGGAATCACTG